ACGGTATAGCTCATGGCTTCACTGAGTTACGCAAGCCCCTTCGCCACGACAAGGCAGTGATCCATGAAGGGGTTACAGTCTATACTAACTGCCTATTACTACTCATACCACAAGGTGTTTTGGATAAAGCTCAAAATTGCTTGACACCCAAATATTTGCTGGAAAATCATTTCACATATGCACTAGCCAGGCCTTTAAATCTTGCTTGCACAGCCACTGATACTGCCAGCAGGTTGGTTAATTTGAGCCTGAGTTATGATGTCTTTGCTATGAAACTCCCTAACATTTGTTCTTCATCTAGATGTTTGGAATTATGGACTGGTGACTATAGTATTGTTTCTAACACCTTGTACCGGATTCTAATTCTATGAAGTACTCCATTATTTTTTATAGAAAAGGTTGTATATAAATTCAATTAACAATAATAAACAATAGAAATCAAAACACAGCCCAAGGCACTACAGCATAGATTGTAGATTTGGTATTTTGAATATGTTACATTGCAGTAGTAAAGTTTTTTCAGAAAAGTTGCTTGAATCCAAGGCAGTCACTTGTATAACTCTAAAAGACTTTTTTTTAAAAAAAAAATCAACTCATTAATATACCAAATGTACCTGCAATGATATGTATTTATAGCAGGGTTGTAAAATGTTTCCATAGTTTGTTGAATTCTGCACTACCTATTTGGAAGGTTGAAGAAGGGAGGTCAAGGCATGGCATAAACGCTGATTTCTTAAGCCTCTACATAATCATAAATAAAGGTTTTTATTTAAACTTACTTTCTGTGTATCTAATTGTTGGCAGGCTTTCTGACTTTTCTCAAGATCCCGTTTTACTTGCAGTTGCTCCTGCTTAGTCTTCAGTCTCATTCTAAATTAGACAATGACAAAACCATCATCAGTAAATTTAATAGAAGACTATATTTTGATAAGAATTACTTGATCATTTTTCCTGTTCTGGAAATTAATAAACTCAATATGTGAGCTAAAACAAAGTCCCTTCATCCCTAATGTTGTGTGTTAAGACATGAGGGAAATCTGAGATCCTCCAGGAATAGCTGGAAGTCCCAGCATACTTCAGTAGTGATCATGTTGGCTGGAGCTGCTGAGTGTTGTAATCTAGGAATAGTTGGAGACCTCAGCTTCTCCACTCCCAGTATGGGTAGAGGTCTCTGCATTTATAGCATTTATACGAAGGCGCTTTCCTTTTAGAAGGTTGTGCTGAAAGTGGGGATGATCAGTGCTCAGCAGCACTGATGTCACAAATATGACTTGGGGGCATATCAAGTCTGTCTCTGGTTCATGTGTTATGTTTACTAGCATTCAGAATGCCTGAACAGGGCTATGAAATTCCAGGATCTAGGACTGTCTGAAGAACTGCTGCCTTAATATACAATACCGTATGTTGATACTGTTACTGCTCAAAGCTGGGGGAGCAGCCCAAAAGCATCCTTTCCCTGATCTGATGCCCTCCAGATTTACTAACCAAATTGGTTGAGAATTATGAGAATTTGTAGCCTAACAAATTTGAAAGGCAACAGACTGGGGAAGGCTGCTAGAGAAACATAAGGATTTTGGTCTCTAGGTATTTAGCAGAATACAGCAATTTCTAAGAGAAAATGAACAATTCATTTTATAATTCATTATAAAATGCATTCCTGAAGAAGGCAAAACCACTGGGCATGAACTTTTCCCCTCCAACTGCTGACTTGGAAGATGAAACTGAGCCTCATAGGTTCATCTCTTCGTGCCCCTTCCCTGCCAGCCTGCCTTGCACAGATGGACAGTACACTTGTATAGACATTTCATACTCCTTGATGTGACCATTTTTAAAGAAAATGATGTTTGATTCTTTTTCTTGTATCATTTCTTTTAGTTTATAACAAGTCCTAAACAACAAAAACAAGCCTGTTTAGGAATCCATTTCTACAGTTGTTATTCAGTCATGAAACCATTTTTCTACAACAGGAGTTAGCAATTTATGGCCCTCTTGATGTTGCTTGAACTTCAATGCCCAGAAACCCTAGATGTATGATCAAAAGTGAGAGATTTTTGGACATTTTATTTAGCAACATCCAGACAGCCAAAGACTTCCTGCCCTTACTCTATAGTTTAGCCTTCTCTAACAATGAATCCTCAGGAATACAGACTATTCTGAATCAGAACAAAAGTCCATTAACTCCACATTTCCTGTATCAGGCTTCCCCCAATTAGGTTGTGCCCTGCAAATGACATGGACTTCATTTCCCATATTTTCCTGGGCAATTGGGTATTCAGCAATTGGCATTAATTCTCTGGGGTTCCAGCCAGAGGTTTTGCCCTGTCCTACCTGGAGGTGCCAGGATTTACACCAGGGACCTTCAACACACAAAATACATGTTGTCCAGTTAAGCTACAGCCCTCGCCTATATATACAAAGAGTATCAGCAGTTAAGAGAAAATGCTCAAGGAATAACATGCTACTTGAAGAGGTCAGTTGTCTGCTTCTCCGCTTGTTTTTTCATATTCATTTTTTTTCTGTAGTTTTCCAGCTTTTCCTCAGCTTTTCGTTTTTTTACTTCTTCATGGCCAAGCCCACTTCTTCCTGCCCCAAATACAAAGCAGTTGTTTGACCGACTGAGCAACACCACATTTGAATGAAAAACAAAAAAAGGCCAGGTATTTCACAAACCTGTAGTAATATTCAGAGGAATGGGCTCCACTATTCCCTTCCCTGCAGAAGAAAGAAATGTATTCACTGTCAATAAAATAACATGATCCCCTTGCTTCATTGTGCTTGCTATCTTTTATCTTTATCTTTTATTGATTTTATTGTAATTTCTTTGATTGTTGTGAGCTGCCCAGAGTCACTGAGAGTCAGGTGGCATACAAGTTTAAAAAATTATTAGTAGGAGTAGTATTTACTGTATTCCCTTCTACGTATTTTTTAAAAATTTCTTAAGATTTATATCCTGTTTGTCTTCCATCAGCTCAACATTCTCTCCAATTTTTCCCCACAAAAATAAACCTGTGAGGCAGGTTGGGCTGTGAGACCACCCTGGATCTCCGGTCCTAAGGAGTTCAGAAACACACTCCACTCTTATGTAATCTTTCCAAGTGAGAATCCACTCTGTGAATTCTATTTTTTTCTCCAACGTATCAAGAGACAATGGCAAACAGAGATTAGAAGGTTGGATTAGGGTTGGGAAGAACCAGGCTCATATCCCAGCTCAGACAAAAAGCTCATCAAATAACTTCCAGGGTAGTCTAATTTATTTCATAGGGTTGTTGAGAAAGCAAAACTGGGAGCAGGGAGAGAGAACAAAATGTATCATGTTGAGGAAAATCAGAATATAAATGTAATAACTAGATCTCTCTGATTCCCTTTTCCGTTATTCTGCCAGCTGCAGATTTTGTACAAGCACAACTCTTTATGGCACAGTAAAAACTGATTCCTTAGCACAGTCACAGTCTGAAAACTGGATGTGGAAAAACTCACCACTTTTGCCGAGAGGCTGGCCGCTTCTGTACCCCATCTTTTGGAGCATAGCAAAGCCTTTATTTTCGTTTCCCAAAGCAACATTTAAAACCATTTCACGTTGCTCTTTCTCTTGTTCTTTTATGCTCTTTTGCCTACTTTTCTGGTTAGCTTCTTTTTGTTTTTCCTCTTTTTTAAAAGTTTCCTTCACACGTCTCAACATCGGCATTCCTGGCCTGATGTCCTGGCTGAACAAAACAAAAAATCAAAAAGTTACCTAAGTCCAAGATACTGTCAAAAAGTCATTATTCTGCTTTAAGTATATTTTATAGTGCTTTAAAACTTTTGGGGGGAGAAGGTATATAATTGATGATCCTGTGGTCATTTCATGCACTGCTTTGAGTCTACCTGATGAGGAAAGAACAGGAGATAAGCTATTGCTGTAAGAAAAATAACGCTTATTCAAAATATAATTAATCTTATAGGATGAAGCTGAAAGAAAACAAGCAACATGGCTACATGTTCCCATTCCTTCTCACTACGTACCACAGTTCAGCATAAAGAATCTGGACTGAGACTGTGGAACAGACAATGTATGAAGAGAAACTAGTGCTTCATTTTAGACTTAATATGTTGCCTGAATATGGCCACAGTGATTTTTAAAGTTAACAGATAGATGCTGTAAGGGGGATATGCTGGAGGAGTGGGTGGGCTGAAATGTTTGACCCATTTTTTATTCTTGAGAAGGTGGGGTGGGCTGGGGGTTCAAGAGACAACTGAGCGCTTCAAGCCTAGCAGGTAATTATGATTCGAAATAATGAATAGTGTGTGATTAATATTCTTACTGATTTTTCCTTTTTCTTCCATTTTCCTTCTGAAAACGATAAAATATAAATACCCCATAGAAAATAGATACATGCTTGTTCAGTTGTATTTGAGTGACCAGTTTCATTCTGTAAATTATCTTCCCCAGAATTGTTCTACATGGCCAGAATTTTGAAGCAAACTGCATACTTGAAGAATTGTGCCCGAGTTTTCAATCATGTAATGGATATTTGAAATTTCATAAAGCCATTTCAGCTTCAGCATTCTGATTAGGCAAAGCCAAACATTTTCCCTTAGGGGAGAAAACCCCACTTACTTAATATTAATAAAGGAATCAGACATGTAATCCTCTTCTGCGTCATCCATGATTTGTATCAATCCTTCACCTGCAAATATAAATCCACCTATAAATACAGTTCGATTATTTTAAAATGCATCAAAAAGCACTTTTCTTCGGTCTCTAGAGGAAAATTCCGTATTTATTAGACGCAAGGCAAACCCTGAATTTGATCTTTGTGTATGATTCTCCCCCATGACCCTAATTTCTTAGCTAGTCAGAACTTCAGCAGACGAGAGAGCCGAAGTAGTGCACTGATAGGATATTGGTTTTTGCTCTACGAACTGCATTTCTGGCCCTACTCACTCGTGGAAACTCATTGGGTGAGCTTAGTCCACTTAATTCAGCTTATTACTCTGGGCTGCTATCGTATAACTGACTGATCTAACCCATCACTCAACCCTCGGCAGCAACGCTCAACCATTTACTCCTCCTGATTGCTGTTCCTTACCAGTAACAAAAACACAGCCTACCTGACTCCTGCTTCCCCACCTTCTAAGCCGCTCCGCCGCTACGCATGCGCCCCCGTGGACTCACTTCCTGGGTCTCGAGTGCGCATGCGCCTGAGCCGGCGCTGCTTCAGCTGGTTGTGAGGACGAGACGGGCCGGGCCGGGGCCGTAAGCAGTGGCAACGTTCGGGCTCTGTCGGGTCGGATGTCGCCGCTGCCTGAGGTGGGATGAGTAGTCGGGAAAGGTCGGTCAGGGAGACGCGGGTCTCGCACTCGTCGGGGAAGAGCCGGAGGGGGAAGGGGTGGGAGGGCTGACGGAACCCCGAAAAAGAAGCAGGACCACGTCAGCCTCTCCAGGTGGGAGCCGGTCCACCTCGGGCTCAGCGCGGGCTTGCGGGGGATGTTTCGGCCTCAAGCACCGCCACCAGAGGTGGTGTCCGTGGTCCCTTTGGCTGCTTTTTCCTGGGTGGATGGCAGGCGTGAGGAGGGCCCGGGAAGCTCGGACCTTCTGTCCAACTGACAGCGGCCTCTTAAAGGTCCTTTTCTAGGGTTGCTCTTCGAACCGCCGTCTCGGGACAGGTCTACGATCTGGGTTGCAAAACTCCGGCGACCGCTAGATGGCAGAAAGGAGGTGCGGTTTCCTGTGTCTCCTTGTTGCGGTTTGGGTTTTGGCAGCCCAGAGATGGTGACCCTAGGATGCAAAGCATATGTCCCATGGTTGAGGCCTGGATGGGACCCCCTTTGTGATAAGCCATATTTGCGCAACATGCTTACCTGTGGATACATTATGACTGGTTTATTATTATTATTACTTATTCAATCTGTATGGCTGCCCATCTCATCTAAGCGACTCTGGGTGGCTCACAACAGGTAAACACAATCCAATAAAACAAGTTAAAAACCAATACACAAATGTATAAAAACTATCCATAATCAATTTGCTCAATCCATAGTATTTTCTGGGGATGCATGATACACTGAACCATAAGCTATGGTATGGTTAGATAAAATATGTCTGGCTGCTTGGTGTTTCAGTATATCATATGGACCCAGCCACTGAGTGGGGTTTAGGGACTCCAGCATGGAACTGTTTCCCACATTATACAACATCAAACCTGGGTTTGTGAGGGTGCCTCTACCAGCAGTAAAAAGCCAGAGAAAATCCCAGCCCCCTGTCATTGGTGGTTGAGAAGGTGGTTGCGCAGCAGCTTCAGAGGACTCTGGATGAAGCAGATTATTTGGACCTCATTTTTAATTTCATGCTGCCCAGAGTCGCATTTTGTGAAATGGGTGGCTATATAAATATGATGAAATAAATAAATAAATTGTGCCGGAATTTACAGTTTTCAATGTATTGTCTTGTAATGCATGTTTTACTGCCATTTCAAATTAACATTAAATTTGAGCTAGCTGGTGATAGTATTTATTTAAATTAGTAAAGTAGTAAACTTACTTTAAATTAGTGCAAAGTTTTAAATTAAAAAGTTGAACAGCCTCTATATAGATTCAGAAGAAGGGTGTTCTTTGCCTGGATAATAGCTGGCATTAACTGGCTGAGCCCTTGTAGTCAAAGCATATTTTGTAATTCAACCTTGCATACATGTATTCTTACTTGCCTATAAAAGCTTTAAGAGTATTCTGTGTCAAATTTGCATGTAATAAAAGAGGTTTTTTTCTTTAAGATATATTTGCTTATTAGAATATTGTTTTTCCTGTTTTTATGTCACATTGATTTTTTCTTGTTTACACTGAAAATTGTAACATTTGAGAGTACATTTAAAAAAAAAATATACTCATTTATAGGATCTGAATCTTCCAACAAATATGTATTTTTTGGAATTAATAAAATACTACAGATTTCTAAAATTCATAGATAGAACTAAGTGAAAACAGATTTCCTGATTATACTTTGGAATTGATTTTACACTTCCATCAACACCCTTATACTCCAAACAATTTGTTGCAATCAAACAACATAATTGATGTGGTTACTGAATTAATCCATTTGGGGCAGCGGGTTGCGCAATACAAGGATCCATGAATGAACTAAATGGGATGGATTCAAGTAACATCTAAGCCACAAAAATGCTAACCAAGTTGTCATGAAATAATATAAACAGCTCAAAAATCATTTTGGAGTCGGGCAGTGCCAAAAGTGAATCAGATAAATAAATAAATATTTCTAGGGCTTTAACTGACCTATACACATACACGCATACATACATGTGTGCATACATATCAGTCACCTTGTTATCAATGCTCATTCACTCTCTTTGATAGAGATTTATCAAATCTATTCTTTGTAGCAGATATGTAGGTGATTGAATTAATGAAATATGTTCTATAAAAATAATAGATAAACCAGTTCAAATGCATTTTAAGGCTATTATCAAGTGGGATGTTTTAAATCTACTGTTCTTTGTTTTTCTGTTTATTTGTATAACAGGAAACAAGGGAAATTACAGTACAAAAAGAATTTAACCAGCTATGGAACTTGCTCATAGTTTGCTATTAAATGAAGAGGCTTTGGCTCAGATCACTGAAGCAAAGCGACCAGTTTTTATCTTTGAATGGCTACGGTTTCTTGAGAAGGTGCTTGTAGCTGCTAACAAGGTATAGTGGATTTTTTTCAGCCTTTATTTTTGTATCAGTGGCTTTTCTGTAATATAACCAAAGTGACACACCTGAAAATAATTTAAAATTATTGGGCTGTTTTGTTGTTTATGATCCTGATAATGCATATCTACACAGAAACTTTATTGTCTGTGCTGAGATATATGATTACTAGTCTATAACTTCTCCTTTGAAAGAATGCTGTGATTGGTGTGAAACTCTTAATGTAATCCACTAATTCAGGTTTTCAATTTTCTTCTCCTTTTGCTAAACCATTAATTTGCAATGAAAGGCTTGTTAAATCATGAGTTATAATTTCCTTTCTAACTGAATGGCATCAGTGTTTTAAAAAATGCCAAAGGCATTTATGGAAATGGACTTGAGAATGAAACAAGTATTTTTAGTTTTATTTAATGAATCCTCTTGTCTAAACTCATGATCATTAATTTTATGGTCATATTTAGCAGACATAAAAATAAACCTCTAGTGAACATCTGAAATAATTAAATGTTTAGGTATGCCCATACGGAACATGACTAATAAGATTTACATTTGTTTCATTAACAGACAGATGTAAAAGAAAAACAAAAAAAGCTTGTTGAACAGCTAACGGGTCTTATCAGCAGTTCTCCTGGACCACCAACAAGGAAGTTACTTGCTAAAAATCTTGCTGCTCTATACAGTATTGGAGATACTTTTACTGTTTTTCAAACACTTGATAAATGTAATGATATCATCAGGAGTAAAGACGATACTTCTGCCTATTTATCAACCAAACTGTAAGTAAATGTTACCTACTAGGAAAATTCCACAACCTTCAGAATGTGTTAGGGAATATATCCAATGTGTAAAGTCAAGAAGACTCTATTTTATTTGATTGTTTTTTTCTTCTTCAGATAAAATGTATCTACCAACAATTGTTGGTAGATACATTTTATCTGAAGAAAAAAATTGTTTGAAACCATGAGGTCAGAGTTAGGAAACTTTACATCTGTTTCCTTGTTACCTTACTAAACTAATCTGTAAATCTGTAAAATTATTTCAGTCTCCAGATTATACATTTGGATTATATGAATTTGAAGTCTGTGCAATATATGAAGATGTTCATCCTTGCTTGAAAGTATATTGGCTTGATGCTCCCATTTAAAAGACAGATGCCTTTGAGCTGAGTTTGACTCCTGGTGATTAAATAGACATTTTTTTAAAGCAACAGTGAAGAAATGGTTTGCTATCATCTTCTTCCAAGTTGCTTTTTTGATTTCAAAGTTTAGTCTGAAGACTTGGGATTTCCTGTTGGCCTCTCATCCATGGTCTCTCCTTAGGTTCTTCAAGAGGATCTATTACTATAAAATAATTAGAAATTATCTTCATTTTTGTAGTACTGCAGTGGCATGTGTTGGAGCATTTTATGAGAAAATGGGGAGAATGCTGGGCAGCTCTTTTCCTGAAACAGTTAATAATCTCTTAAAATCTTTGAAAAGTGCTGAGGTAAGTAAAAGCGATGTTCACAAAAATATTTGAATTGTTGTACTGTATTCCTTTACTTAATTAAGAGTCTGGGTAACCGTATTAACCTGTTGCACGACAATAAATAATTTTGTAGCACCTAAATAGAAACAAAATTCTTATGTTATAGATTTTTGCGGATTTCAGTAGATTGTAGTTCATGAAAGCTTATGCATAATGAATTTGTCTGATGTTAAGATAACACAAAAATCTTTGTAGTTAACAGGTTATCAGTATTGTAATGAGCTAAAAATTAGAGACAAATTCAATGACGACAAAATGTGGCTTGTAATTAACATAGTACTTACTGCTTGAAATAAATGTTGCATTGAATCTTGGTGCTTTCCTTACACAATTAATGTATTTTCCTGTAAAAATAATTCACACTATTAAAAGGCTACCAACTACAGCTGAGCTGAAACACTGTTTGGCTAGATTCATCCATTATCCTATATTATGGTTTATTGAACTATCTGGTTCACATATAATGCTAAGCCACAAATCACTCTTTTTAAAAAACAGTGTTTGGTTTTATATATTAACACTAAGCTGAAAACAAACTATATTAGTGAAGCCAGTCTTAATTTATGTTGTGTGTAGGTAGATGTACGATTGTCCTATTTCTCATAATAAAGGCGGTTTGAAATTACCCCATGAGTCCCAGTTAGGAGAAACCAGTCACATACTGCCTCCTGGTGGTCAAATAATGTGTAAAACCATAGGAATATCTACTAAAATAATCTCCCCTTTGAAGTGGTGGAGTCATGGAACCTCTAGCGTGAGGGCATGTGTCACAATAACTCTATTTCTCTAGTCTGAGGGCTGAAATAAGGACAATAAATTGTCCATCTCTCTATCTTCCTACAAACCTTTGACAACAAGGGCTGTTAAGCTCATAGAACTAGGTGCCCTGTATAAAGTATAGTGGCCTAAGTGTTCAGCTCACAGTAGGAGGGTTTGAACCATGTAAAAACTAATTCTTTTAATACAACGTACTGTACCAAATAATTTATATTCTAGAACTACAGGGAAAGAGTGGTTCTCATATACATTGGGGAAGTAGTGTTTCCATCAGAACTGAAAACTCGTGAGGTGAATTGGGGTCACCACCTCTATCAATTGTTCCTTATAGTTTCTTAAAAGTTTAATTTTGAAAAGAAGATTTGTAAAATCTGCAGAAGCAGATTATTTTTTAGAATCCTTGGAAATGGTTGAAGGAATGATGATCTTTTTTAATAAGCATGAAATGTGTCAAGTGTTTATAAAATAAAAGATTATAATACAAGTTTCGTAAAGAATTGGCAAGTTGATTTATATGAGTTACATAAATTGTGATTTTGGAATAGAATTCCTCAGCATCATAGTAATTGATATCTTTTTATATAGTGTGATGATCATAATCCATCTCTTCCTCCTAAGCTTCTATTAATCCATCATTTTTTATTTGAAACAGGCCACACTATAACTTAACATGTGATGTGAATCCAGTTGTAGTGTAGAAGATCCCTATTCAGAAATCAGACTAGCTATGCCTTTTTTCAGGATACTCCATTTCATTTTTGCTTTTCATAGCAGATATTTGGCATTCTGTTGACACTGAGCATGCCGCATTCTCATTTTGGGTGGTTTCGGGGTTTTATGTCCTTAATTTTTTTTCCCTTTAAATAATATTTTTCATATTTTTCTACTTAGGCTTTCCCTCTTGTTTCTCTATGCCATATTTTAACAACATAGCCACCATAACTCAGTATCTTAAGTCTGTTTAATATTTAATTTTAATTATGTGCATTATTGTCTAGCCACATTTAATATGGCTATTTCTTAACCTCAAAGCTTTATATAGAGATACAAGAATATTTTTCCATTATAATATATACTGCTTTTAAATAAATAGGATGTTAAAGCATGATTTTGTAAAAATACAAGCTGTTTATGTCTTCTGGCAATTTGCAGTCACAGGGACGGAGTGAAATATTAATGAGTTTACAAAAAGTCTTAAGTGGCCTCGGTGGTGCAGCAGCTTCTTGCCACCGTGATATTTATAAGAATGCCCGGTCTCTCCTGACAGACAGAGCTATGGCTGTACGCTGTGCAGTAGCAAAGGTAAGTTTGTTTAGTTGTCTAAATGATAGAAACATTACTGCATCATTCATAGCATTTTCTAGCTTATCTAGTGTTCTAAGTATGCTTTCTGTGTTGTACAGTTTAGTGTAGATATGGGAACTGCCCCTGAAATCACGCTGCTCTGTTTGTTGCTATAACCACTGTTACAGATTCTTCTGGAAAGATACAGTGTGATATGCTAGTAGCTTAACTGTATCAGTTTCTGAAAGTGTGTAGCTTGCTACAGAGCAATATTTACATTCATGGTCTTATTTCTGATATTTGGTGTTAAACTTGAGATGGAAATCAAATAAATAAATTTTGCAATTCTGAGTGAAGGCAGGATAGCATTCTTCCTGTTGCTGGGGATAAAATGCTTCTAGAGTAACATGTTTTTTTTTTTCCTGTCTTTCTTCAGCATCTGGTTTTTCCCCTTTGGGTTATTGGTGTGGAGCAAAAGCTAATTTTATTTTTTGGCAGATTTTGAAGTTGGAAAGAGTCTGGAGATGGAACCCATACTAAACTAGACTTTAAAACTGAAAGCTATTGGGAAAACATTTATTTTTTATTTTTTTTTAATTTAAAAACTTAAATGCTCTTCCTTTTACCACTTCTAAATCCGATTATAATCTTTGTATATACAGTATATACTGTGGAGTCCCTGGGGTTCTCTGAGCTTGGCTGTTTTCTTGCAAATATTTTGTTACCTGGCTAGGTAACATCTTCAATGCTAGAATGAAGATGCTACCTCATCAGCAATCATCACCCAGACAAGCAGAGATTAACCCCAAGATTATCACCAGACATACAATCAGCAGTAAACAATACCCTAATCAAGGAACTATCAGAAGGAAAAAATAAAACAAAG